ACTCTAACTGAAATATTTTTTGTCTGTTCAATGCTGTTTGTTCCTATTTTGCAAGAATGGTATCTTTTCAAAAAAATCAACACTGGATATTTTTTCTTATGATAATTCCTGTACAGATGATCTGTCTTGTTTATCATGGTGTTCCTAACCACCTTAAGCATGAATATACCACTTGATGATTCTTTGGCCTCCTAGTCTCTGTAGTCTTTCAGTGGATATCTTACAGGCCAGCATGTGGACAAATTGGCACATTACTTTGCTACATTACCTTCATCACATCAATGTATCTTCAGTTTCAGATTCTGATAAACCTGTTGCTCTCGTAGGTTAAAGTACATGTCATGAAGTTTTGGAGAGTTATTTTCAAACTTTGAAACTAGCATCAAAACACAGTTTATAATTAAAATTTTAATGTTATATATGTTTTAATTTCTTAAATTAAAAGGAAATATCAAAAAGTAAGCTAAATATAATTTTTTTATGTTTCGCATAACATGTGCTCTTGTCTTATTGTCAGTTTATATTTTATTACATCTATCATACATTGTGTACAGTGGCTACCTAATTAGAAACTCGATTTTGAGAAGACAAGCTAAATATAAAACAAGAACCTCCCACCTCTATGATTTGCTGAGATGTCAATATTTTCAGCAAATCTACTACAATTGCTCCTCCCACTACTCCATTCTTTTGAAACCTCGTGTCTAGTCCCACCTACTACTAATTAGCTCATGTTTATAACCAATAGAAATAGCAGTTTCCCCTGTATGTAAATCTGGAAGTCATTTGTAAATAGCTTGAAGGAATTGTTTGTTTATAATGAATTTCACGCAAAGCTACACGAGGGCTATCTACACCAGCAGTCCCTAATTAGCAGTGTAAAATTAGAGGGAAGGCAGCTAGTCATCACCACCCACTGCCAACTCTAGGGCTACTCTTTTATCAGCGAATAGTGGGATTGACGATAACATTATAACACCCCAAATGACTGAAAGGGCAAGCATATTTGGTGTGACAGGGATTCAAACCCGCGACCAGCAGATTGCGAGTCGAGCACCATAACCACCTGGCCATGCCAGGCCAGCTTGAAGGAGAAAGTAATAGTTTCACCAAAACTGTTGGAGTGTGATGACTAAGTTGTAGCTCTGAGTAAGAATGGGATTTTTTGTAACCCATATCATCATCATAGACAGCAGTACATCGATAATTCTACCGATGCTTAGCTGCCACACAATCAT